CATGGAGGGTTGAGAATTTCTGTGTAACAGCCATTTATTACACAGACTGGGGCTGAGACAGCTAATACATATTGCAAAGGTGAAACAAGAGCCTCAGCATTTCTGCTCAATTATCTCGAATTTTACACAACCTAGTTTGACAAAAAGCTATGCAATTTGTGCTTAATTCGTGTTCCTGTTTGAAAAATATTCTGTTTCGTCCTAAATCCCACTGCATCTTTTCCTAAATTCCATAGCACACTATAAAGTATCTCCATTACTGATACCTGTTTTACGTTTTCCAGTATAATTTTACAAAATATTTAAAAGCTAATCATATTCGAGCTTTTAGAAACTGAAAAAAATACCCCTATAATAACGTATTTGATGCACATACTGCATTTTCTTCACTGTCTTGTGAGTTCAGTCTTTACTTGCTTTCAGTATGGTAACTTCAGCGTTTGAAATCATTTCATGCCCTCTAGTGGCAGCCCTGCCAGGCACACTGAACCACGACATTCCAGTTACAGCTGATGTAGAAATGGAAGAAAAACAGTTTATTCCCCTTTTAAATGAAATTTATTATCCATCCCTATAGTTTAAAACAATTACAGTCATTTCGAGTTATGATGAGATAGTACCACCAGCAAAACAAAACCCTCTAGAGATAAAACACAAATAGCAGCAACAACAACAACAAAAATCACATACTGAGTAAGCACTTGGCTGAATTTGCTCTTAGAAATGACACTGGCACCATTCAGTGTATTTCCTACTGGTACATTTTTCAATATCCAGACACACAGTTTTTCCAGGGTCCACAAAGGTTATCATCATAATGAAAAGTTGAAGTGCCACCAGAGCTTCATCTTCTCTCATGGAAAATCACTTTGCTTTTCCTAGTAAATGACCAAAGTGATAGGACAGAGGAAAATTGACAAAATAAAGAAGGAAAAATTTGGGGGCTTCAAGGAAAAGTTACACAGGGATGATACACGCTTTTATTATGTTTGGTTTCAGAGCCACTACTCATTCAACTTTTTCCTAATTCAAGATAGCCTAAAATCCTTACCTTTTCCCCAAAATGTTCCAATTTTTTAATTTATTTTCAGCTTCTGCACCTAAGCAGAAAAATAAATCATGCTGCTTACAAACTGCTCTTTCATCATATATTCTCACGGGTCTTGCAATACCCAACTCCAAATTAAAACAATGAGATATCCCATACACAGATATTGGTAGGCATTGGAGTTAAGTTTGACTTTCCATTTCACCCCCCAAATTACAAATCCTTAGGAACACATTAAATAATAAACATTTTCACTGACTGATAGATTGTCAGTCTCAATAGGATTGCAATAACATTCCCTTGGACTCTGAAATGTCAGTTCCCAATGAAGATGGTAGAAATTCCTGACAAAGCAAAGCATTCAGATACATGCTCTGTGCAGCTGAAATGCTGTAAGGCAACATGTGCTATTCTTACTTTGAAATCCTTGCCTCTGCTAGCCTGTACAACAAGAAACAAAGCTCAGTCCACCCAGATCTTCTACCTGGCACTGTAGATGGTTACCAAGGGCCGAAGAAGCTTGTTTCTTCAAACCCTTTAAAAATGTTTTCCAGGGTGGCTTCTAATTTTGCGGGTTGGTTTTCTTGAAAATAATAGTTGCGTTTTTAAAAACGTTAATTTTAACATCCACAACGGAGTGCCTGCACACAGTGGTAATCAGAGTTGGCTCACTGGTAGGAGAAAGAAGGAAAATGTCATTTACAACCTTGTTATTGTTCCAAATTCTCTTTGCAGTTTTGTCCACTAGGGAAATAATATAACACGCTTTTTCCTTTCATAACTTTGCCTTATTGATGGCGTTAGTGTCCTGAAAACCATGATGCAATTTCATCTAACTTAATTTTTGTTAAAATCTCAAGGTAAAACTTGAAGATTTTAGAGGATAACTACTTCACTACACACTTATTTATTTAAGAAATAGTATTTTCATTAGCTTTACAGATCTTATGCCTTCAAATTCTCCTGGTACCAATTTTTGCACCTGTTGAACTTGATGCCTTTGCTTGCATCCATTTGAGATAGAAATACTGAGTCAGTACTTACCAGATCCAGTGCACCAAGGGGGGCAGGGGGAACCAGGACAGCTGCCACCTCCACCACTGCACCCAAGGAAGTAAGCTGGGTGCCCAGCTCAACATTGTCCCTTCGTCCTGCCCCGGCCATGACAGCTGCAGCCTGACAGGTGTCAGCACGACCCCATGGAGCAGCAAAAACCCATTCCAGAACTGGCTTTGGAGCTGCACAAGGCATCTTGTTTGTCACTCCGGGTTGTTCAATGAAAGCAAATCTTAAATGTATCTATTTATGCAAATCAAGTAGGTCAGCATCATTTCCGGTAGTGATCACCTCACATGAAAAAAAAAAAAAAGACTATTTCAGAGAAAACAACATTAATAATTAAGGACATTGAAGTTAAGATGAATAGGACTGAAAAGTTTGGGAAAGCAGTTGAATCAGGTGCAGTAAAAACAATAAGTGGCATAGTAAAGGGCAGATCAGGAGCTAATTTCCCGTAGTTTAACCTGTGAGGATTCACATGAATGCACAAGACTGCCCAGATCAATGTTAGGAGTTAACTTTGGAAGCAATAAAAAAACCCAGTGACTTACCTTGACTTGCAGCAGTCAGAATTTGGGATGAAATCTGAGACCAGGTTAAACTGATCCACACCTACCGCCTGTTTTAGTCCTTACTCTAGGTTGGCCACATAGGTGGAGGGCAGCACACTGGACTGTGGATTGGGTTCCATGGCAATCTCTCCATTTGGCAGAAGTGAACCACATCTGCGTCAAAGGCAGATGCTGACAGCGTGCCATCTGCAGCAGAAGAACGCTGATAGTCACTAGCCTTGATGGAAAATGAGCTTTGGCAGTTCTAAGAGTGCTGACAGATGCTGATGCAGGGCTTGAGGAGCACCTCAGAGCCTGCTGGGGCGTTAACGGTGACCAGGCCAGGTCGGGGTGCTCCCACCAGTATCAAGTGAGCTGACAGGGAAACCCAGAAGCTTTGATACAGAGTTCTCTGAAGTCAAGGTCTTCAGCTGCACCATCCTGGGCAGCTGCCAGCTCTCTCTTGGGAGAAGATTGATGGTTCTTGCTTTAGCACTGGTGTTGATAACTCAGAAATACTCCCTGTAAAATTGCTGCTCCGAATTTAGTGCTTGGGTTTGGAGATGGGGGCACAGGTGATGCAACATGAACGTGTTCCAGTGGGCTGGCCACTGAGGAGCTGGTTATGTGCTGAACTACGTGGTTCTTTGGGCACTATTGGTATCAGGTAATTAAAACAGACTTCCAGAGTTGAGCAATGAAGGAATTCGGGGCTAACATGCTAGGCTGTGGTGAGCTGATACATTAAAAAAATGTTAAGCACAAAGCCAAGCAACAGTAACAGAAAGGTGCTGCGATAATGTGTGCAATAACATTGGGAAAATGAAGGTCAGAAGAAAAAAGTGACCACCAGCAAAACGCAGGTACCAAGCACTAACAGCAGCCGTGAACGCAAGCAGTGGGTCTTGCAAGATGCCAGTGGATCCCACTAATTCCTGTGGCACCCGGATGAAGGCAAATTATTTGCCACAAAGACCTTTCAGAAGCAACATACGCTTTGAACTCCACCAGAGAAACGAGCAGGAGCTGCGTTATCTGGCAGGGCGCTGGGCGACGAACCGGGCACCAAACCGGGACGGCTCCTCTGGAAAAACTCTCTAACTGCTCGCCAACAGGCTCAAATCTGGGGAGAAATGCGCACCCAGGGATCCAAAGAGAGCAAACAGATGGCATCCAAGGCACCAGGCAGGGCAGGACCAGGCGCTACAGGAAGATACGAGTGGAAGCGATCCGGGCGGTCGGACGCCAGGGGGCGGGAAGGGAAGGGAAGGGAAGGGAAGGGAAG